CCGGCTCCCTACCTGACCACATACAATCATATCTGCTGCAAGTGTCTGATTCTCACTGAGTCTGCTTCTCACTGAGTCAGACTCAAAGCAGCCAAAAGAGTGACTTCATAAGTTTCCAGAGCACTCTCAGATCCATGGAAAGGACAGACTTACTTTATCATCATTTACTTTATCATCATTTACTTGTCATCACCAGAGCAGCAGCTTATTTCACTGCACACAGTCCACATGCTGGAGTGACACAGGCATTGTTCACTTTGCATTCTAACAACAAGCAGAAAACTGGAACCCAAGAACCAAATAAAACTTGAAAAAGCAACTCTTGAAGTACATTTCATACCTCCTTTCCCCAGCAAAATGAGCAACAATGGAAAACCATCTCTGGCCTTTTCTGTTAAACACTTTCCTAAGTTTAATGAAGCTGACCCTAGAGTTATCTGAAGAATAGTATCTTTACCCATCACATCTCTAACGAACTCCGGGGGAGGTCGTGGTGCCCATTCATTCAGTTTTTCAGGAATTGGTACAGTCTTTTCCTGCAAGAACAAACCAACCAGTCATCAGTATCTTCTAGGAGCAAAGTCTGCAATTTTAACACATTGTTGAAAGGTGGTATATGTCTGACAACAGCCTCTTCCATCAGCTGACAGATCTCAGAAGGAGCACAGCTGTAGTAATTTCTTCATGCACAGAGATCAGAAGCAGGCAGAAAACGAGAATCAGAAGGTATCCTCTTTCCCTCACATTCAGGCCTGCAGGTCAACAAACCCCAGGAGGATTAGGAGAGTCTGTGCTTCTTTTCAGTATGGAAACTAGAAGGAAGCAAGTCAGCACCTCCAAGCACTCGCAGAAACTGAGTATACTCCCACTACCAGTAGTCTGGGAAGCGATGAAAGGCATCTGTGCACCTTCCATGCCAGATCTACAAAGGACAGGGAAGAGCAGGGAAGGGAGAACACACAGTGCAAGGTCAGAGGAGAAACACAGGGTGGGGACGTCTCAATCTCCTCCAGCACACACAGAGGGATGGTGAGAATCTCCACCTGGCAAACACCTCCTCAATACAAGGACCAAAACACCCAGTTACAGGAATCAGGGTCGTGCTCGCCCCCCCCCCATTAAAAGCAGCAGTTAGAGGAAAGCCCAGCGGCAGAGCGCTGGGGGGTCAGCCCTCCCCGTGGGTCCCCAGAGAAGGGTCTCTGCCGTCACAGCACCCCGGGAAAGCCAGGTCTCTCTCCCCTCACGGCCACCCAGTGTGTGTGTGTGTGGGGGGGGTCGGCCTCTCCCCTCACAGACCCAAGAAGGGGGAAGGTGGTGTCGGTCCCTTTTCCCTCACGGAGGCGGCGAGGAGAAAGGGAAGGACGGGTCAGACCGACTCCTTACAGAACCACGGAGGAGGATCGGCCCCTCTCCCCTCACAGACCCCCGGCGTGGGATGGGGGTTTCAGTCCGTCCCCCCGCAAGGACCCGGGAGGAGGAAGGGGGATATCGGCCCCTCTCCCCTCACGGAACCGGGCAGGAGGAAGGCGGGGGTCGGCCCCTCTCCCCTCACGGAACCGGACAGGGCAGAGGCCCGGCGGGTGCCCTCACCGGGTTCCTCATGAGCCGCTCGAGGCGGAGGCGCTGCTCCTCGGCGGCACTCCGCGGGATGAC